AATCCCAGGATGTCATCCTCCTGCTGTACTTGGCCTTGGTGAGGCCGCAGCTAGAGTACCGCATCCAATTCTGGGCTCTGCAATTCAAAAAGGATGTGGAGAAGCTCAAGAGAGTCCAGAGGAGAGCCATGCGCATGGTCAGAGAGCAGGAAAACAGGCCTTATGATGAGAGGCTGAGAGCTATGGGGCTCTTCAGTCTGGAAAAGCACAGGCTCAGGGGGAAACTGGTAGCTGCCTATAAGTATATAAGGGGTGTACATCAGGATCTGGGGGAATGCCTGTTCACCAGAGCGCCCCATGGGATGACAAGGTCAAACGGTCACAAACTTCTCCAAGACTGTTTCAGGCTGGACATAAGGAAGAACTTCTTTACAGTCTGAGCCCCCAAGGCCTGGAACAGACAGGTGGTGCAAGCACCTACTCTGGACTCCTTTAAGAGATGATTGGACGTTTGGCTTGCTGGGATCCTGTGACCCCAGCTGACTTCCTGTCCCTGGGGCAGGGGGCTGGACTCGATCTTCTGAGGTCCCTTCCAACCCTAATGTCTATGGATCTATGCAACAACATCATTTCTGTTCCTATCTAAAAATAGAGAAAAGAAGAATCAGTCTTCTTTCAGATTCTACTTAATGTATATCTTTTAACCTTGTCAAAACTCAAGATACTATGTACTCCAACTATATATATATACTGGATATGAGCACAATTCTCCTAATTGAATATCCTCCTAGATTCCAACTAGAATTTATTCCTTATTGCTTATGTTGTAATAACTGTTTTCTGCACATCCATGAATCACTTAATTGCACAGTACTTTTCAGCCCCATCGTCAAATTTTTAATTAAGTGCACTGGGTTTAAGTGGGCCAGAAACATCAAAGTAGATGTCAAAGAGCTGCTATTAGAATGGCAGGAGCTAGCCAGTGTCATCAATTGTTCCCCTCACTTTCAACATTAGAAACCCCAACAGTAGGGCAGCTGGTCAGTTTCTGGGTTGCTAACATCCTAGGCTAGGGACAGATGTTCAAAATGCCTGAGCATGAATTGATTCAATCTTTGCAGGTTAATCAAACCTGGCTAGGCTAAATCAGTTTTGTAACCCGACAGACATCCCAGACATGCAGGCACATGCCTGCAGTGGCTCGAGCTAGAAGCCTGGGGGCGCTAGAGCACCTTCCCTTCCTTCCACAGCACTGAGCTGGGGCGGGGCATGGCCAGGCTCCCGCAGAATGCTCTGATTAGCCCAGAAGGGAATTGATAACAGTGTTTATTACCCTACTAAGAAAAAAACAGAGGGACACTACCAGCTTCCTGTTCATTCTACCCATTGATTCAGCACAGATGGTAGCTAGCATGTGGTTTTCTAGCTAATACACAGACACCTCTCTGTAAGGCAGAGGGGAGGGAAGGAATTCCTGCTTAGCAGGGAGTGGTGAGAGAGAAGGTAGGAAGCAGCCCACAGTCTTGAGGGGTGGGCCCAGCCCTGCTGTGGAACAGAGCCCCACCCAGCTCAGAGAGCAGCCTGGGATGCTGAGGGAGTCTGGTTTATCTTAAACCAGCAAGGGGTCTGGGATAGACATTGCATAAACCAGTTTGAGCCAAATCTGTTAAGTCTGATACTACATTCAGCCAGGTTTATGTCAAACTAGTTTCAGCCATTTTCAAACTGGTTTATGTGCACTGAACATCTATTCTGTTACATGTTTAAACCAGTTTGAGTACTTAAAATGGTTTACATTTAATGTCTGTCCCTAGCCCTAGTGCTCATAGCGCACTGCAAGCAATTCCTCTGCAGTCCATATTAATGTCAGTGCTGTGGAATAAGCAAATCTACACCTCCTGCCATTTTCAAGCCTTCAAATAATAGCCCCCAAACTACTGGTATCAGAAGACTTGAAAAAAGAAGGAAGCTGCTCAGTTTTAGATGTACTAATTACACAGCACTGTCTAACTAATAAGCACCGTTTTACATTAAGTTTAGTTAAATACATAGCCTTTTGCCAGCCCCAAGGCTGTGAACTTCAGCAACACATACTGCATATATCTTGACATTTCTGGTAAGCAACTCTGCGTCTGAATCCCAATTCCAGGGACAGAATGCTGATATTTTTCCTTTTTGTTCCTTACTCAAAGTTGTATCAAGGCAGATGGGCGTCTGACTCCCTTGAGCTGAATAATTAATTGCAGGATTGATATTAAAAAAAAAAAAAAAGGAACATGTGAAGCCTAAAAAAAGACTAATATAACCCATTTTTAAATTAGAGAAAAGTGTGTGATGTTTCCTTTCCTCCTCCAAATGCTGACTGTTATCAAACCTTATGCTTTAGTCTACATCCAATAAATATTTATGGAATTCTGGCATCATCAAGTGGGGCCAACCATGAAAGTTTAGGTCAAATAAAGAGTGGGATCTTTTCATCTAGGAAAACTAATAGTCTACAGACATTCCCCAGAGCTCATTGGGAGAGATGCTCTTGAGCAGGACCTGCCAATCCACTCCTACTTATGTGAACCAAGCTTGTAATCGCAGCACAGTGGTGTCTCCACACAGGTGGTCTCAAAACTTACCTCCATTTGTTTGAGAGCAGCCACAGCAGACACCACAAGAACACACTGTGTAGGCAGGGATGCTCTTGATAACACATCCCAAACCTACCACTGGCCATTACCTTCTGTCAACAGCAAACTCCCACAAAAATTAGGTACAAATAATACTTAACACTAATACCAGATAATTTACAAAGGAGATCAGGATGATGCTTTAAGTTCAAGAAAAATCTCAGCAATGCTTCCCTTTCAATTTGTTACATATCTCAGCAAGAAGAACTGGAAGTTTTATTATGTTCATCTCATACTGCCATGAAGTTTCACTGTAATTCCAACTTAGTTTGCTTTGGTAAGTGTTCATTCAATTGCTTTGAAACATCTCTATCACTCCTCCCAAACAGGCAAGATTTTAGTGCAATTTATTTTTAAACCAATTTATTCATAAACATTTCCTGTTTAAGTATGCAATGTCTTATGTAGCCTATTTAGAAATATGACTTGCTTATAAAGAGGGGAGAGGATACACAACAGAAAAAAACCTAAATTAATGTTTTGAATCCTACACCGGAAGGTGCCATGGAAGTTGTATTCTCCTTTTATATCATGCCTTGAGATTTTCTTGACTGCTGTTGTTGAAAGACACAAGTAAGATTATTGCACCTAAAAAAAAAATTAGAGCCAAAACAAAACTTTGCTAATTTTGCCAGTTTATACTGTGCGTTTATCTGAACCTACTATATTGCCAGTTTTGTTTCCCATTTTTGACGGTCTTTCACAAAAAGCAACTATTTAAAAAATGAAAATCTGGGGGTGGGGAGGATTGAAAACAAGACACAAACCCAGAAATTCCCAGGATTACAAAGCCAAAATAGTATCTGAACATTATCAATTTCTTTATTATAAAGACGAATTTCAAATTGGCACCAGATCTTCAACAAAATGAAAGGTGGGGTAAGGCATTATTTGTGCAATTGGGATACAGCGTAACAACTGCAGTTGAAAAACCTTCATGACCCATAAACCATGCACTCCTTCACTGGCACTCTAGAATCCTATTTTATATTTTTAGCTGACTGGACTTAATTTACCAGGAATATTTATTATAAAATCTTAATTTTCAGAGTACTTTTGCTTGTGGTCCCCAGCACCTGTCAATGCTTCAGAAATAACCTACCTTTGGGCCCAGTACTATGAGGCACTGAGCACTTCACCAGCAGTTGGGACTCAAGCTAAAGCTAGATTTCAACAAATAAACACGTCATTCCCTCCAAGTTTCCCTTCTGAGATTAAGTTGAAAACGTTATGCAGAACAGTATTTGAAAATGTAGCCTGTGCACACATTATGAATATCCCAAAAAACACCTGGGGAGGGAAGGGCAACTGTCTGGATAAGGGACAAAACTACAAGACCATTTGCAATTTTAAGGGCATCATTGCTCTCTACCTTGTTTCCAGCAGTACACTAGGCCTACAGAGAGTTATGGTTATGTATTACCCTTGATCCACAGCAGAACCAACATCAGTTGGAATCGACACAATGATCATGAGTGATATCAATTGTGATTAAGTGGTAATAGTAGTGTTACGTTCATCAACTGCAGAGCCCTTTTTAAGACAAGTATATCTGCCTTTTGTTAGCTTCTTCAGTATGCTCCACCTCCCCTCTCCCTAACATGCATGTTTTCTCCTTTCAAAATCTCTCGTCCAATATACATCAGTCTCACTGGGCGCCTCTCTATTCCAGCTCTCTTCATGAGCTGGCAGACTGAACAACTAGGCCCTGTTCTGTACCCACAAACACCTGACTCCCCCAAAGCTGGGCTCGTCTGCTCCTCTTCTGTCCCATTACTTCAGTTCAGGATGTCACAAAATAATTTTCCTCGCTGATTTTCAAGCACCAGATGCAGTTCTCTGACCTCCCTAGGGTTCTGAAAAGTACCATCATTCTGTGCTCCTCTTCCCACATGGTGAGTAGGGAACCAAGCAGGAGTTATAATCAGGCAATAATTTGTGGACTCTTGACTGTGCTACATTAATTGCAGAAGGAGTTAGCAAGGAAGAGAAAGCTACCAACTACTGCTTAACAGTAAATCCCCCAGAGGCCAAGAAAAACAGCTGGAAATAAACATCCAACTATTTAAGAATTCTTTCATTCTGAAAAAGTTGAAGTGATGTTGTAGTTGTGGTGGTCCAGGAAGTGTGGGGGTCATATTTGTTATCATACCAACTGTATATACATATGCTCTTCAGAACAGTCCTTTCTATTAAGTCTTTGCAAGATATCCAATTAGATCTTGGCATCTGGCAGGTATTAGTATAAACACCAATCAATCAGACTTCCAAACTGGAGAAGGGAACAAAAGGGCAGGTCTAGAAACAGTGACACACAAAGGGTCAGAAGGGCCCCATCATTTTTAGCAGCAAATTTTAAAGATTAAGTCAGTGATTCTTAACCTGGGTGCCAGCGCAACTGTGGATGCCGCAAGATCTTTTCAAGGGTACCATGAGGTGCGAGGAGATAAGTGCAGGCACAGATGCATCCCCAAGCTTCTGACCCGTCTCCACTACCAGATGCCTCTGCAAGCACTGTAATAAATAAATCAGTTTTTGAAAAGGGGTGATGCTCAGTCATAGTAGTTATGCAGAGGTGTCTTGAGCCTGAGAAAGTTGAGAACTACTGGATTAAGTATAGGACAGCACCCTGCATTCCAATGTCCACCACTGACTGCATCCAAAAAAAGATGATGTTGTTAATAACGAGCTGATAAAAAATGTTTTTTGCTAAGATGATTGATTAATGTTGCTATTTAAACTTTTTAGACCTCCAAAGTTACCACGAGGTCCTAAAACTCACCCAGACCTCACCTAGACTTGAAAAATGATATACCAAAAACCATATTAGTGGGGGGGAACCCCAAAACACATTTTTAATTAAGTACCATCTAAAACATGCTTGCATTTTTGATAGACGATGTCTAAAGCCTTTAAAAAAAACACAAACAAACAAAAAACACAAACCCTTACCTGTATTCAGTAATGGCACTGATGACCTAATCTACACCAGAGGCCATATGGGTTATGTTAGAGTTTACTGATAAACTATTTATGTTCTGTGCTGCATCATAATCATTCATATACACATATTACCTTGTTCACTTGTACCTAACAGGATTTTATAGTTCCATTCCTTCCCTAGAGCTTGGCCAAAATGGACACTCAAAGAAATCATGAAATCACTGCAACTATCATATCAAGATAGAAGCAGTACCAATAGGGTAAACCAGAGAAAAAGAACCAAGATGCAGAACCAGATTCAGGTGTGATGCATTTATGCTGGAGGCATCCAGGAGAGCCCACTGCTCACTGGCTAAATGGCTGCTCAACGATACCATTTAGTCATTTTTCTGTCTTAAACCTTGCTTTGCTCATTTTGCCAACACACAAGTCAGCATAATGAAGAAGAGAGCTATGCCAACCTTTGCCACAATCCCATATAGCTTTACTGCCTTCCCTCCCCTACAGTGCTCTCCATTTAAGTTCATCTCCATGGAACTAAAAATAGGCAATACATTTACCAGAGAGTAAGCACTTACCCCAACTCAATGTAAACAAGGCCCATTAACTACAGACAACACCTTGTGCTAATACTTTTGCACCTTATTGAGGGTAATCATATTGGGAATTTTTATATGCATTTCCGACACTGCGCTGGGCACTTTTAAATTAGCAAGCCATGCTAATTAAAAGCACCCATGCGTCACGTGCATCAACGGCACAGCACGCCTCTGTGCTAGGAAAATGGCAGCAGTGTGCTTTGATCTAAAGTACAAACATGTTTTAGTTGAAAGTGCACTGCTGCCATTTTCTCAGCATGGAGGAGTGCTGCACCGCTGATACATGTGACATGCGAGGCTGCAAGAGCGTGTCAATTTGTGTGTTCCAGCAGACTCAATTAAATCGAGTCTACTTCGATGTGCTGTATTTCCAGCGTGTCAGAGCAGGCTCCCCACAAGTGTGTAAGTGCCCATTGTTTCTCAAAGTGTCTCAAGTTTCTAACAGAAGCCTTGAAATTGGCAGTACCTACCTAGACACCTCAGGGTGGCTTGAGAAGCCCTGAAGTTGAGGACTCCAACTGTTCAATTAAACCAAGTACAATTGTTAACAGAGTAGACAGTGGAGCCCAACATTTCGCACTTGAGTGATTTGTGCACTTAACCAATATGCAAATAACCACAGCACAAAACATGCATGAAGTGATCCTTTTTTTAACCCATACAATCACCAGAAGACTGACCACTTCTTTCTAGCACTGAGTATGCAACTGTCATCCATACCTTGGAGATCTTCAGGCTAAACATATGAAAGTAACCACAAACTCCGACTCATCTGAATGAACAACGTTGGGAATTTCTTCTATGAATTATTTCCAGAAAGGTTATGACCTAGACATAACCTACGTGGTTTAACTTATTGGTGAATCAACAAAAACTTCAAATTTACTGGCTCCCAGATGTCCTAGAGACCGTCTTCCCCTCTCCACAATATTTAAGATTAGCTGGTTTACTCTTTCTTTCAGGGACACTAGCAAACTGTCCACACCTGAGAATATTGTCTCTACTTGTTCCCCAACAATCTCTCTTTGAAGAGCTACTATACTACAAGATTTTATGACTGTCAGGTCAAGACATAACGTTCATTTTTATAAAGAAACTGGTTACTTTGGTCGAAGTTTATCCCATCTATTCTGAAATTCACGAAAGCCTGGGAATTTAAACTTGTTTAATATTAAGGTCAGCTATGGTTTGCTAATGAGAATTAGAAAAATAAAGTCATTGCTATGCCAGTTCCCTTTGGGAGGGAAGAACAGAAAGTATGTAAATGCATGTTTTTACATTTTTTTTAATTAAAGCACAATGCTGTTATTCCCAAGAATAACAAGTACAAAAATGTACCTGATAGAAAACAATAACTGAGGTGTTTATTTTATTCTTTTGTTATAAGGGTACTGATTAGAATATAAATAATTGCATTTCAATTTTCCATGCAGTGTTGCCTGTGGATCAACAATGCTTAAAGCCAAACAAAAGAAGGATAAAATATGTTGTGTTTTTTTCTTTTTTTTTAAAGAAAATCCAAAGATTTTCACCAAAAGACCCCATTTTTTCCTATTTGTTTCCTTCCACCCCACCACATTGGCTCTCTTTTGTTCATACTATCTTGGCTAGAAGGCTTCAGAAGCTCCTTAAGAGGCTTGACCATTGTCACGTGGGGTTTTAATGTGAATTCTCATATTCCAAAAAGTGATGCAAGGGAAGGATGCAGGCAGACGGTATTACTAGATCTATGGGAAGGGTCTGATTATTCTGAAGCTGCAGAATTTTCAAAAAATCCAGTACCTGCAAAATGTTGTGGTACAATTTAAGTTTTCTTTCAAAGGGGAAAGCAAGCAAATCACAACACAGGTTCTTAATTTTGTATTTGTACAGTATAAGAGAGGTACAGTTGTCATTTTGAAATAGCCCCGAAATAGACTGAGAAAATTGAAGCATTACATTTAACTACTGTTAAGCCCATAGTAATTTACATGTCAACATTGATAAATTCACTGCTAATTATTTTGAGTAAAAACAGCCTGAACAGTTTATCCATTGTTATTAGCTGCACTAGCACAGCTGGGACTATGCTATCAGGTATTGCCAGGATGAACAAATGGCTAAATATGGGTGCAGGGAAGTTTTAGAGATTGAAATAAAATGCCATACTAACTGTTCATTATCACATGTAGTTCACAGTGTACTATGGGGTTTTTTTTTTTCCATTTATCCAAAACTACCAAGTCACAAAACTGTAGAAACTAAGGCACATCATGAAGATTTGGGACCTGTCTGCACTGGATTATGCTGATTCTTCTACAAGAAACTATCACAGTGTGCTGCATATTTATTCTTTCAATTCCCACACTTCTCACCCACATCTTTCCATGGACCCCAAACAAGGAAACAACAGCAGTCTGAACCGATTATTTAAAAAAAAAAGAAGTGTTGATGTTCTTATTGCTTTTATTTCATCGCAATTTGAGAAGTCAACTACCATGTCCCTCCAGTACTTTCAGGTTTGCTTCCTTGTCAATTACTTAAATTTTTGTTTAAATTTTTTTTTCCATTCTAATCTAATTGATCATCTTGTCTAGCACATTCAGTGAAACAAACATGTTGATATGCCACAACAATCAGTTCCTGGATGATGCAATATAATGTCATACACTGGACTCCAGGAGTAAACAACATAGGAAAGATAACCACTCCATTTTACAGGAAAAATAAGGTTTTGAATACTTTTATGCATTCTACTTGATGCCTTTTTGTAATAACTGGCAAAAGCAACCATCTCTCTCCAGTAGCAGTGCACTGGGAACACCGTCAATACCAGCTGTTCAAATGACACTCCCTGTAACTGCAATAGGCACTTAAAAGCAACCTAATGCATGGTCCTGCTTTCCCATGTTGCTCTTGACAGATGTCACCAACATTAACTACCATATTTACTTGATGGCCCTAATTATAAGATGACCCTGATTTTAAGACAACACCCCAATAATCAGATTCTATATATGCACAGTTTATAAATTTGATACAATTTTCCAGGTATAGAATCTAATTATTGGTGGTTTGTCTTGAATTTGTCAACCTCCCACTGCTACAGCAAGGAAAATAAGTCTGGGGAAGTCAGGTAGCCCTGTTGTCCAGTGCCCTCTCCTCCCCCCCTCCCGCAAAGAGAAAACTTCTTCCCCCTGAAGCCTTTTCCTCCCCCTTATTGTCAGACCCCACTCTCCCTGAGCACACAGAAAGGGACAAACAAATTTGAAACAAAAAAAAAAATAATCTTGAAATAAACATAACCGTAGCAACTGGCATACAGCACCCATTGACTTCGTTGACCAACAAATGACACATTATACCTTTTTTGAAACTGCTTAAGTTTTAACACAGGTACTCCATAAACACATTTTAAGTAGCACTTTAGCACCTACTTAGAAAGTACAAAATGTTTGCTTGTTTGTTTTCATCTGTATCAAGGTTAAATCAGTTTCAAATTCAGTTGGGCAAGGCTCAATAGTCAAGTACCAAAATTCAACTTAGTACAACTCAGTCATGAAGTATGCATGGCTATACCACCAGGCAAGTATCCTCTCTCCTGGACCCATCAGTCTGGAGCTTTGAATACTCTTCAAATCCAGGCAGGTATCCAATGTGCAAGACCCAGGTCCAGACATGTTGGTGTTCAGATACCTGCCCCCTCTTTGCTTGATCTTAACTTAGAAGGCTGAGAAAGCCAAAAAGACATGATATTAGTCCAAAGCCAAAAAGTTCGTCATTTACTGTATTGTTCACCGAGCTGAGCCCCACCAGAGTCAACAGCATTTCAAACCATGGCGACCCCACAGCTCAGTGCGTGAGTGTATTCCAAATACCACCCCCAAAGGATCTATGCACTTCTTAGCCCACACTCATGACTGGAACCATGTGTTCTTGTCATGAGTCCTGGGATCCTCCAAAAATTTTTATGCAGGTGAGGCATAGGGCAAACTGATCCAGCTTCACTTCAGGGAGGGCGGGGCCACACAAATCATGTGTGCCAGGCTGAGAGAGGTGCCAACAGAAGAATACTGGGTGAACCGTTTGGTGCCTTGTTTGATGATGTTTACCGGATATTTAAGGGTGAAGAAACAGGAACCATTGGAAAAGGGAAAGAAAGGCATAGCTCAGCTGTCAGAATGAAGAGTGTCAAAATTATGCAGTGTAATGGATTACCGTAACTCTTAAAAAGGAGTTGGAGCTGAGGTGGATTGAAATCTATCGGTACTACCATATATTTTATTCAGCTCCGCTGCATCCTTTTGGCTAGGAGCATGCGAGACTAGGGGACACTGAACCCCAAGACCTTTGCTTTCCTGCCATGGATTTGGGAAGTATCTGATGCTCAAGACTGGTAAATTGGAGAGGGAGGATACTTGCCCAGTGGTAAAGCCACATTGACTGAGCAGAACTCAGTCATTCAGTCTAAATTTGGAACTTGACTACTAGGCTAGGCTTGACCAGAACTGATTTGACCCTTGAAACAAAAATCACGGTAGGTTCCCATCAGCATGTCTGCCCCATAAAACAATTTATTTTACAGTCATGCTCCGTGTTGGCTGTATTTGATCAACTTCATAATCAGTTTCCATCACTGAAGCCATGTTGCTTTTGGCATCAGCTTAATTTCAGGCAATGTATTTAGTGAGGTTTCCCTGTATGTAAATATGATTGGGGGGTGGGGGGGCTTCTCTCTCCTTCCCTGCCCCCGCCCCCTGTTGACTGGGGGAAAAAAACCCTCATCTTAAATTCAAGTAATTACAATAATTAAAAAGTTGTCATGAAGTCTGAGGTCTTAATGTTCATAGATTCACAGAATGTAGGCTGAAAGGAACTTCAGACAACTGGGGTCAAGTGACCCTAGACTGTCCAGTCTCCTCTTGAAGATCTCCAGGGTAGGCAATTGCACCACCTCTGGAGGGAGCTTATTCCAGTCTGGACACCCTGGCTGAAGAATTCTGTGCTAATGTTGAGCCTGAAATGGTCTTCCAGGAGTTTGTAACCATTACTCCTGGTTTTCCCTGAGGGTTTCCTGATGAACAGTTGCTCACCAAGCCCTTGATGCACACCCTTGATGTAGCAGTAAGCTGCTACCAACTCCCTTCTTGGCCTTCTCTTCTTCAGGCTGAGGAGTCCCAGGTCTCTCAGGCTTACCTCACATGGCTTGCCATGCAAGTTTCTGACCATACAGATGGCCCTTCTCTGGACTCAAGCTTCTTGAAGTGCGGTGCCCAGAACCAGATGTAATACTCCATCTGTGGTCTCGTCAATGCTGAGTAGAGTGGAAGAATCACTTCCTTGGTTTTGCTGAAGATGCATCGATTGATGCACACCAGAGTTTTTTTTGCCTTGCTGGCTATAGCATCGCTCTGCCAGCTCATGTTCATACTGTGGTCAATTATTACACCCAGGTTTCTTTCATTCGTAGTGCTGGTCAGATTGGCATTAACAAGCCTGTATGTGTGCAGGGGATTGTTTGTCCCCAGGTGGAGTACTTTACATTTCTCAATGTTAAACTTCATCCGATTTTGATATGCCTAATTTGCCGGCCTGTCTAGGTCCACCTGTATTTGCAGCCTACCTTCAAGCGTGATCATGCTTCCCCATAACTTGGTGTTACTGAAACTGGGAAATAAAACCCCAAACTCAAGGAGTTATTGGAAGATCTGACAAAACCTGGTTTACAACACAGTCTATAGTAACCTAAAGGGGCACACCACCCCTTGGAAAACGATTTGCAAGATATTTTCTAGTGTAATTCTGTCAACTGACAGGTCTGAAGTAGCTTAAGAGGCCAGCCAATCCTATAAATTTTAAAACATAAGGTTCACGAGGTTCGATTACCTTTAACGAGCAGTTTATCTCGAACTGACACTCTCCGAGTAGAATCGGAAGCTGGATTGGATGCACGGGGCCCTTTGACACCATCATCCCGCTTCAGCTTGCTTGCCAGGGTTAGCATAACTGCTACCATCAACCTAGAAGGCAAGCAGAGAGACTGGTAAGCACTCCTCAAAGTGCAAGACAACCAAAATAGTTTTAAAAAGAAAAGTAAATAACTACATAAAGTATTTTGAGTTCCAGATAAATGAGAGTTCAGTGGTATCCATAGTATGCTACTCAGTGGCAGTAAAAGCCACTTGATAAAGCCACTAAGGAAATGTTATTTTGCAAAACGACAAATGACTGCACCCAATAAAAGCCATTAATGTTTTAGGACTTGAGGTTAAGCACCGAACGGAATATTTAAAGTTGGGTTGAGACAAGTCCAGGTGTAAATATGGAGTGAACTGGCTTACAGTGCATCAGGTTCTAGCACAGAATCAATTACAGCAGAGAAATTTCAGTAAGTTTCACTCTGCTATCAAGGAAATTTCTTTCTATTAGCTAAACATACCACTTCCTGAACTTGTTATTTCTACAGAATTTCAATAAAGGAGCCCATCCAAGCGATCAGAGAACCTTTAAGAAGTTGCAAATATGAAAAGACCATGCATATCCGTAGAGAACAAGGTGCAGACATCAAAAGCTGTATTCAGAAACAACTTTCTCCCAACAGTTCTGGCCACACAGAACATCAGGGAAGGGGGATACCATGGAATAGGAAGAGGTAACACAAAAATCTCCGGTCCTGAGGCAGCTTTGACAATTACCAGCATCTACAGTGAACGGAGATACCATTCTCTGTTAGGTGCTCCTTATCATTATCACAGTAAATACCTAGACAGGTACTCAAAGAGAGGCTCAAAGACGGAAGTGATATTTTGTTACAGCAGTCCTCCCTGATAGCAACTAAGAAAGAGTTGCCCAGTAAGTCACTATCCAACCTCCCCTGCATAAAGTAATTTATTACATTAATAGGCAGCATATAAAGATCAGTGCTTGAAAATGCCAAAAAGCAAAGCCAGAACACACTGATAAAAAAACAACCTGATTGTAGATAATTGTTTTTTGCCAGCAGTTATGCCACCAAAAGGAACGGAAAAGCCAAGACATTGAGGCCTTACTATTCTTGGAGGGGAGGAGAGGGTTCATTCTTAAGCTGCTATATATGAATTAACTAAATTAAGGTAGAGGAGAAAAAAAACCCCAAGCCAGGACAGCTTGGGTCTTTACAGAAGTTGTCAAGTTGAATAAAAAGCTACAGAAAAGCAGGAAGAGGCAGAATTACATACGGCCTTTAAAATATTTCATAGAAGTATGAATTTAGAGTGGAAAACAGAAAGCCGACTGAGGAGTTTATAGGTAGGGTGATGTAATCAGAACCAAAAAAAATAAAATAAATCAATGCAGTGGGAACACCATGGAGGCCAATCTGAGATGTGAAATGAAGAATCTGGTAGAACACTCTGCACATGGATGCTCCTTTCTTGCAAGCAGTTCACAAAACTGAACTTTATCAGATCCCTGTATCAGCAGCTTTTTCACCCTCTTATCACACTCATTCATACCACAAAATAAAAAGCCACTGGGGAAAAAATCTTAGCCTTGCCAATTTGGCCAAGTCCACTGTAATATCTGAAAGCAGCAATGTGGTTCCAGACTGGGATTTACATGCCTAACTTGAGAAGAACCTGAAAGTGCTGGTGCATTTAGTAAAGGAGCATACAAAATTAAATGAAAATATTCAGAACAAAACTCAAAAAACAACATGGCAAAGACGTGCACCAGTAAGGTCATCTTAAAAGGTAAACAGTTTTCACAGTATCAGCTGGCATGCTGTACTGATAAGAAAAGCAAGAAGGTTGAAAGCACCAAGACAGACAGCATCTGGTATTAGGCTACTGACTCAGACTAGACAAAGCCATGTATCCAGGGCAAATATAAATTTAATTAAGGCAAAGTGAGCCAGGGCAGAATGGAAATTCACTGGTTCCCTCTCTGGAACAGAGGAAGGGACAGAAAACAGTCCAGGCAGCTGTCCTCCTTCAATGCAGAAAGGGGGAAGAGAAACAAGCTTGGCAGAGGTTCTACTTTTAAGGGGAGTGGGATAGAAGACCAGATAAGCTGGGGCACGTAGGCCTGGTCTTACAAGGCCCTCGTTTCAAAGCTCAGCTTCCAAATGCTGTAATTTCAATGGGAGTTATACACCTAAACACCTCTGTGGACCTGGCTCCTGCTGCTTTGCACCAAAGCACAAGAGCACAGCAGAAGGCCCCTCACAGGGAGGAGTCACATCTACCAGCAAAGAGACATAGGTAACCACACTGGTCTGAAGTCAGGCAGAAGGCAAAGGAGAGATGCACCTTACGGATTAACTCAGTGATGCTCTGATTTTTGGCCCCAAGGGCCAGATGAGGGCTGACCCATGAGCCAGACTGAGCCTGACACAGGGCCGGGCCCTGTGCACCTGGATAGGGTCTGAGCCCCACGCGTGGGGATCTGCTCCTGGCATCCTGCCCCCCTTGCCAGCCCCAAGAGCCCAGTGTGGCAGCAGGGGAGCGGCAACTCCAAGTTCCCAAAGCAGGGAGGGGGGCCTGTGAGCCAAATGATGCAGTGCAGGGGGCAGCTGCTGGACCAAGCCGACCAGAAGCAGGAGTGTTTGTGCTCTCCCACCTCCTTGGTGGCACCTGCCAAGGTGCTGAAGCAGAGCGGAGGTCTGTGCGAGCGCCCGACCCAGGGGCAGGGAGAGCCCGGGGTCCCTGGGGGAGCGAGGCGAGAGCCCAGAGCCGCCCTGGAGAGGGAGGGGGCCGGAGGGGCGCGGAACAGAGACGGGCGCCCCCGGGAGGGGCAGCGCGGGGCCCCCGACCCGGCTGGTCCCAGGGTTGTGGCCTCCCGCCAGCCC